GTACAAACCTTTTGCGAGACTTAAACTTGTTGGAGATAAGTGAGGGGAAAAACCTGGCAGATATTTGGTACTTAAATTTCCCAGTCCTAAAACTGCTTGTAGAAGAAAGAGCAGATCTGCAGGAGCATATCCCAGCCTATGGCTTCAAATTGGAATTACCCGCTTCTAGCCTTTCGTCAGAATTTGACCTGCTACAGCAGCTGATTTCATCTCTGCCCTCTGTCATAATCTTTCTTGAGATCGCAGGGCTTTTCCTTGCTGGCTGACTGAACGCATGTCTGTGCCTCCTGTCTCACGACAAGAGTGCAGATGTGCTTCCTGATAGACGGTGTTTGTACTTCGGCCAAGGGACGGAAGATGTGTTGTTCTGGTCTTCTCTCTGGTGATAGCTTAAGGCCACTGAGAGTCTTCGAGATTACATACTCTGCCTCAGTTAAAACGTCGGGCACTCCTTTTGGCACAACACTGAGGGATTAGGTGTGTTCCCTAGTCTATATCTTAGGGAATCCTGATGCGTTTTTAGCAGTGTGTTTTAAATGGATACAGGTGCCGACTGCAAGCATTACTGTGGAGGGCAATCCTGCTCTGAACCGTGTGAGATGGACGCACTCCGGGAGAGAGATTGCTGTAGGCGATTCAGAGGGACAAATAGTTATCTATGACGTGGGAGAGGTATGTATACCATGTGTTGTGCAAAGTACGTTACAAAAGACTCAAGTTTCTTTGTCTGTTATTTAGCAACTTGCTTTTAACTTTTTTCCCCTGTCTGTGATTAGAGGAGTAAGCTTTAATTTTTATTTTTACATTAATGTTTCCTTTTTGTGTCCATTGCAGATGTCATAGCACAACTTTTTAGTATACCATCTGGCAGCCAATCAAAAAGTGAAAACATTATTGTAAGGCTGGTGAAACGAAAAAATCAATTGTTTTATTTGTAGAGATTTTATCATCTTTAACTGTGGCACACGTAAATTCTGACCATAGCTTGAGAAGTACCAAACAAAAAATTTTGCAGTGAAGCAGTCTTGACTTTGTTCCTACAAGGGAGCTGTTGCTATTGCAAGTATGTGTACTGCAGTAGTACGTTACTAATTGATTGGGTGAGGATATGGCATTAGTATTCCCCTTTGGAGGCAGTCTCTCAGATGAAGACATACCATGCAAGCCTGTAATAGTATCATTAGATACTTAAATACAGGACTCTCAAATTCTGCTTCTTTTATTAGTTAGAGCTTATGATGTTCAGACTATTTTAAAGAAGTTACACTAAATAAAGGTAAGTTTTTCTATCTGAACCTCTTCTGAACATTACTTAAGCACTCTGCTATTCACAATGAGCTTGGGTTTTATTTATCAGTAGGTTGAAATAACATTCTCTTTGTCCACAGCAAATTGCCGTTCCTCGCAGTGATGAGTGGACTCGATTTGGTCGAACACTGGCAGAAATAAATGCTAACAGAGCTGACGCAGAGGAGGAAGCTGCAACCCGCATACCAGCATAGATCTTCAAAAACAGGCCGCAGTGGTAGACTTGCGGATGATGCAAATCTTAAAAGTATAAGCATGTATCTGTTCAAATAATAGCTTAAGGGAGGAGTATATGGATTGAACTATGGACTTTGAAAATGTACTAAGATCACTGAAATCAGATCTTGCATTGTCAATTTTTATATATAAATTACAAGCACATTCTTGGATTTGTGTAACTTTTAATACAGTTAACTTTGACTTTGCAAGGGACTTCTTTTGCTGAAACACTAACCTGGTGTAAATTAGCTGTTGGGCTTCTGAAATTTCCACTTTGTAACAGTCTATCTATTTCTGAAAAGTAAAAGTTCTGTTTCTAAACTAAACTTTCTATATCACACAGACTAACCTTCATTAGTAGTAAATCTCTGAAGCATTCTTTAATTTGAACTATTCAAATTACCCATGGATATGCATGCATATGTTCCAAGTAAGTTTCATTGTTTACATATAGATAAGCCTCAGACTCTGGTAGCGGGTAATGTATGTGAATAAAAGTTTGTGGTTACAAACTTATTTGATAATTGGACCCGAATTAATGAAATTCATATTTAATACCAAGTCCTTTTGTCTGAATTGGTGCATTAAAAAGTGAGACCGATTCATAAATAAATATTACATGAGCACTTGCCAGCTGCTCTGACCCCTAATCTGTGTCCCTTCAGTAGTTTGAGTGTAGAAAGTTCCTGGGAGCTGCTGCTTTCGTTTGCCTCCACACGTCACAGAGCTGTTTTCTGCCCCCAACCTCCACTTCCTACCATGGCAATCAGCCAAAAGGAAAAAGGCTACTGTTGTCAAATTTGTCTTTTCCAGAGGATAAGGAACTCGATTTTGACAGTTTCTATAGCATGATGATTTGCATTCTGTTAACTACAGACTTGCTACTAATTTTCCATATAAGTTTAAGAAATATGTTTGCATTGCTTTTTAACATTTTTATTGAAACAAAACCTCTCAATGGCTTGAAACAGAATGGTGGGAATTTCTGTTAAAGGTTAGATTTTTTTGAGTACATTTTTCTTAGGACACTATAAGCTTTCCCATCAAGACTGGGTTTCAGTTTGGGGGCGGGGGGATAGTTCTGGGTTTGGTGGTGGATTTTGGTTTTTTTTTTGGTTTTTTTGGTTTTTTTTTTTAGTAAATATTGTGACTTGTCTGAACTAGGCACTTAAACCAGTAATGATCTTCAGCTTAGGACTCTAGGTATGTTTCTGGTATTCTTAGTCTGCTACAAGTTTGTCATTTTACCAGAAGAGCTGGTTTATATGCTTAGAAGTAGGAAATTGGTTTATATTCCTGCTCAATCAGCATTCTGTCCAGAAGTATTCTTACTGTTCCTTCGTTGTTTGTATTTTAAGTGCAGCGTTTTTTCTATTTCTCCTTGTCTTGGTTCTGTTACAAGCAGCTCATAGAGACAGAGGCAGCAGTAACAGCAGTTCTGTCTTCAGGAGGGTGTCTTTTTCAACATGTTTGAAAATGAAATCTATTTAGGCTTGCGTTGGTGTTGGCTTGTCAGAAGTCCCCCCCTCTTTTTGATGCCAAGTCGTGCTGTTCAGTTTGACATTCGCCTCGTATGTGTGCTTCAGCCTTACAACAGCGGTTACCTGTTCAGTTGAGAAACGTGAGCTATATAAAGAACAGGCACATCATGCAATGATTTTTATCCTTTAGGCGCAAGAATTCTTAGCGAGCAGAATGTTCTGTTGTCTTGCTGGGTTTTGGGCGTTTTGGTTTGTGGGTTTTTTTTCCTACTGAGATTGTTACTTCTCATGTAAAATTGCATTTCCTTCAGACTTGTATCTTCAGAAATCCAGTAGATAAGGCTTTCTCTCAGTGGATTGTGGCATAAGCATACAGGTCATATGGCATTAGTTTTACATAATTTCAGCCTTTTAATAACTTTCAACAAAACTATTCTGTATACGTTCCTGCCTGTAAAGTCTCCTAAGGCCTTGATCAAGTCAGTCAACAAGCTGTGACCAAGATTAAGTGCCAGGGGGTACCTACCATTTTTATATCTATTTAGAAAAGCACGGAACAACATACATCAAAGTGGGGGAGAGTTCCTGGGAAGCCTGTCTCTAGAAAACTGCATGGAACAGGTAATTCTTTAAACAGGAAAAAAAAATAGAGAGAGGAAGCCTTCTATGAGGTTGTGTATATGCATGGTGCAGAACAGTGACCAAACTCCCAAGTTCTACGTATTGTAACCTCCAGCACACTACATATTATTCAGCACCAAAAGATTTTGCATCTTGCTTAGAGGCTGGAACGGAAGAGGGGTTTGTCTGTGTGCGTAGCGTTCAGTTTTTAAGAAGCCATTTCTTCATAAGCTGACTAAAACCCTTCATACTGGCATGTTGTCACCTGAGCAAGAAAATAACAGAGCCCCGCATAAGTTTATACCGCTGGGCTACCCTGTACCCCAGGATGTTTAACCCTGAAGGAAACATGAAAGACTGAAAATTGGAGGTGTACAAGGCTGGAAACCCACCCATCTCTTCTCTGGCTGTATGGGTAGCATAACTACTATTCCTCTAAGACTGCAGAAATTTAGACTCCTCTATTTGCTCTGACATTTTTCAATTTAAAAATTACACCAGATAGACTTTTGGCAGACATTAAAACAGAAATAGTTCAAGATTTCTTGCTTTCTCCTCTCCTTTTACTTAGCATTCCACTCAACTGGAATTTATTCTCAGTCTAAAAAATCGGTTTTGCACATAAAAAGAATATAAGAGTAAGTTTTGGGGTTTTGTTCCCTAGAATAACCTAATCTTTCAATGGTAAAACAATCTAGAAATAAAGAGAATGCCTGCCATTTTTGTTACAAAAAGTTTTCTACTCTGGAGAAAAAAAAACCCACAAAAACATTCTGAGTAATAAATCCTGTAAAAATTATTGAGTCTGCTAGTAACTGGCAAATATCTCATTCTGTTTTAAATATGCTACCATAGAGGTAAGATCTATTACACAGGTAGTACTACCCTGTGTTTGGAGGGAATTCCTTGTTACGAAGTAGTGCTGCAAAATAAAGTACTGCATGTGCTCATCTAGTTACTGTGTTCTCTTACACTTCGCAGCCAGGGTAGCGTTGCTGTAAGGAGCAGTGAAGTGCCTTCCTTCAGAGGCTGTGGGCTGTACCCTACAACTTTTCCATAAACACAAAGAAGTGAATTGATTGAAGTGTTTTTAAATACTTTATTGTCACATGATTGTTAACAAAGTGCTCTCAAAACATTCTGTACATTTCAAACTATTTTGAAGGGCAGTACCCATTATATAAATGTCTGTGTATGGATGCCGTGATGTCTCTGTACAGAGATGTACAATATGTACAGTAACATTAATGCAAGCTGCGCAAGGCAAAGGCTAGGCTACGGCGTCAGGCCGCTGCTTAAAACAAGGCATAGAGCCACAGCTTCAGTCAGTTCCTTTTGTGCAAATAAAGAAATAAGTGCAGGTATATATTAATATTAGAAAAGAGTAATTAGATTTGCAAGCTTAGTTCAGCTAGAACAACAAAATACAGTACTACTCTTGTGAACTCTTTCCACTGCATCGCTTTGTTTGGCTGAAACATCTTTTTGGGATTCAGCTGCTGCTTTTTGGTTGAGCTGAGGCAATGCCCGATGCTTGAAACTTTGGAAGATATAAACCAAATTTATTTTCTATACCAGCAAACGTAGCAGTAGCAAGTCTGTATCCACCTATGTGCTCAGGGTTAGCAGGAGGAAGGTCTGAAATCCGAGTTTTTGGAGTAGGTTCTGATCCAGAAGGTTTCCTGTTTGAAGAAAGAAAAAGAAGAAAAGCCTTTCCTCTATTTAAAGTGTTTCCTTAAGCCCGAATAACTTCACAAAACCTCGACTAAATACTTCAGGCTTTTGTCTTCCAGTGACACGAGGGACATGGACAAAGTATTTTGCTACAACAGAAATACAAATTTTATGTCACGTGTTAGAAGACATAGGAAATGGCTCCTTATCTCCTCATCTGTTCAGAAGCAGCACACAAGTTTCTCTCTGTTATGGAAGGATGGGGGCATTTTTTTGCATACTGTACTTTTAAGTACAGGTGCTCAAAGTCACAACATTTAAGTAGTCCTATGCATGAAAAAAGTAAGGTTTTTTTGTGCAAGCAAAAAAGCAAATATTTGACTTACAGGCCTCCAAAATCGACGTAAAACCACCTCTGCAGAAGTTCGTAAGTGACCAAAGTAACACCAAACTGGGGCGAAGATCTGAACACGCGAGCTGTTAAATATTACAAATCAGAGTGTCAGACAAAGAAAAGAGCTTCTCAGGAGAGCAGCTGAGCATTTTTAACAAAATGCTGCATTTTTCAGAATCGGACCTTGGAAATACTGCTCCAGTTTGAGTCCTTAACAAAGCAAGTGCTAACGCGCAGAGCTGGCGTCAGCCTTAATATTCAGAACGCGTTTCTCACCTCCAGCTCCCTTCCAGAAAGCCGACGGGCCTTCTTCCCTTAGGATCTTTCCGAAGCAGTCAATAACGCCGCTGTATGTTGTCTGACCGGCGCGAGCTGCCACTTGCAGTCTTGTCTTGATGACATCAGCAGGGGTTACCAAAGAAGCAGCAGGCACACCTTTTAGAAGAAAACCACATTTAATTTGCGCAAAGAACCTTGTAAAAGATGAAACACTTCTAACTGAAAATCACAACTTCAAACTTTAATATTAGACATTATTAAAAATGCAAGGTTTTACACTTGATGCTAATGTAAACTGTTGTGCTTGGTATAATCCTTCTGAGTTTCTTCTAAATGTAAAGGCTACAACTGACAGTAAAGAAAATAATACTAAACTACCAACAGCGATTCTCTCAACATCTTCTAGTGGTCTGTCATTAACAGTAGTTTCAAATAGATAAATGAGGCGTTTTTAAATTCACGCATATGCTGTATATGTACTAAGAGAGATCATGACAAAAATTAGTTGTGCAACCTTACTGTATTTGCTAATACTCTACAACATATTTTGCAAGTTACACAGATGATTGATTTGGGAGCTTGAATCCTACACATCCATTTGTTAAAGGTGTTAATCAGAAAACTACTTAAAACACTGATTGTACAGAAATATGTCTGTGTTTGGCCTCTTCTGTAGGAGAACAGATGCTGCTTAATTCAACAGGCAAGCCATAAAAAGACTGAGGACAATGAAGGTGTTTTACAACCAATGGCATCGTATTAGCCAACAGTGATGGAAGAACAAATCTCCACTTCCGAGGCACCACTCTCAGCTTTCTAGTCAAAGGAAAGGAGAAAGTTTTCAGGAGTGTACTCCACAGTATATAACTGTGTTGTCTGAGATATTTCTGAACACTTCTGTAAAAATTTCAGTCTCTTAAAAGAGGAACCATCTTCTGACCTAGAATTTTGAAATTGATTTGGACTTCTGTTTAATTTCTGTTATTGGTTAAAACTGAATTAAAAGTTTAACAAGGAACTGATTTGCACAGGTAATCATAAACTCTCAGAAGTGTTGCTGGTCAGTTCAGGAGATTTTAAAGGAAAACAGAAGCAACGTAGTGAAGCCTACAAGCATACGCTAACAGCAACCTTATGCAGATCTTCCTTTACAAGCAGGTATGTTCAGACTGTGTTCTTCCCTGCTGCATGTGCGTAACACAAATAGATCGAGCGATTGGGAATTTGAAATTTGCAATTTGGAAAGGCAGATTCCTGTACGCTATAAAACTAGGTCTACAAGATGTGCACACATTTTTAATGGGGTTCATGAGTGACCCAGAAACACTAATCAAACAAGCAAAGAGAAGCTGTGAAGTCTTCAATCTAAAACCAGTGAGTCTCTATAAGAGATACAAGTTAAATAATACTATTCATATGTGCTTCTGTAAGTACAGAGAGCTAAATAATAATTCTCCATTTCTGGCAGCTCTATTTTACTTGGGAAAAAGCAGGGCTACAAATCTGTTACTGGTTTCCTAGCTGGCCTCTCCCTCTCCTCCGGCAGGAGGAATGCACAAACTGGCAAAGAGCAGGTGCAGCCACGCTCTGTACTGAGTCCAACATGGGAAACTGCTCTTTACTCGCAGACAGCTTGTCATTGATGTATATACAGTGATTCCTTATGGCTGTAACGAGTAACAGAGGGTCTGTTCAGCCCAGTGGTGTTTCTGAACTGCACAGATTCCAACACGCTGCCGTTCACAACTGAGAGGCTGCAGATACCTGGTTTTCATCCGAGCGATCGAATCCTCAGCAGTGCAGAATCTGGCCATCTGTATCCACATTTTTAAATATCCACCACTACAGTTCCCATATCTAGTATTTTTATACCACTTGTCATTTAGTAAAAACAACTTTTTATCACAGCTGCCAATTCTCTTCATACTAAACATTTTTGAGAACCTAAAATATTGTAAGTTTCAGAGTATGATACTGTGACTTCAGCTTCTTTAGAAACTAATGCCCTATTTTTAGCAAGTACATTTAAACTAAGTTTCTTCGCAGTTATTCAGGAATCCAAACCTAGATAAGTCATTTTCTTCTTAGCTCTTATGATATCTCATTTTATGTTCATCAAAGATTCAAATTAGCCTTCAACTCTGAGAGCACAGTAACAAGTAAAACCCCATTGAGACAGACAGATCAAATTTGACTACAAGTTGCTGAGCTGCATTAAGCTGTTTATCCACATTATGCAAATGTAATTAGCTCTCATCAAAATTACATCACCTCCCACTAAGGATAACAGTGATCAAATTTAGCTTAAATCAGATACAATGGTACAGTACCCTTCCTTTATATGGGGCTACAGAATGGATATTAAATATTACTAAAAGAAAAAAAATTTCTTCTGGAAAAAATTCTGCAAAAATACCTGCAATGGCTCCAGCTGCAAGGAGATTAAGCCCTCCCACATGGCCATTTTCATCAGCAAGCATCAGTTTACTATGAGCATAAACAGGAAAGTAGATTGCAGAAAAGGGAATGTCTCTGAGGAAACACGCTTTGGCACCCTGTCACACAGAAAACAGACATAAGACAAATAAGTTTTGTAAATAAGGTTAAAATTGATATGCAGCAAGTACCAACTCTTTTGATCTACCAGGTAAATAACACAGAAAATAAAATGTCTCAGGAAACAGAAGATGTAGAGTTGAACTTGAGAAAAGAATAAAGCACATCTGAAGTTAGTTTCCAGAATGAGGAAGACTCAAGGTTCATGTCCAATGTCGGTAAGCAATACGCAACATCAGTCCTGACAGCAGTACCCAGGATAAATACCTTTTACATAGGATGTGTCCAAATGCGATGAAGGAAGTGCCAGAGGTCTGTCCTTACGTCTCGCTGACAACAACCCACAACCACGGAAGCAGCAAGACAAGTCCTTGCGTGCCGTTATTTCCACCCAACACAAAAGCATTACTAAAATATCAGTGACTACTGTAAGACCTCACAGTGATCTCCACTGATCGGCCGCTGGTTGGCGGAAGCAGCTGCATAGGAAGGCTTGCAAAAAGAGGGGAACCGTCGCAAAATGGGAGCCTCTTCGTCAAGGGAAGATACAGGGAGGCAAAACTAGCGGCCAGTGGTAACGCAGCAAGGAGTAGCTCCTGGCCACAACCCAGCATTAAACGGCTCCTTAACAGAACTCTGCATGCTGTAAAAACCGTGGAATACTCGGAATTAAACATATCTAATATTCTTCTTTTAGTAACTTCAGTCATCGGTCTGTTACCAACTAAAATAACTCCTCCTGTACAAAGCTCAAATACGCACTTACATGTCCAGAAATCTCACTTGCGTGCCCTGAAAGCACACCCGTTACAAAAGGACCACTCCCGGCCTCGACACCCCGCCGCTACGCTCCCCAGCCAGCACGCGGCGGACCCACCGGAGGCGTCACCCAGCAGTCACAGTAACTGACGGCACACGCCGCAAACCCTACGCGGCTTAGGCAAAAGGCCTGACAAAGAGAAACTCGGCCCTCCAATGATTTTCATGCAGGTATTTTATGCTCTAGAATGAGTTCTTACAGCTGTTCGCAACTGAGAACGCAATTCTAAAGAACAGCAGAACTGTCACTAAGCTCAGCTACTTCATTACTGCAAACAGAAATGGTAATTTTGTCCCGCATACCAAAACACCCAGGATCTTTAGGAAATGTAATGGTCACGAATCTGATCCACCAAATTCAAAAGCTTCAGCTCCAAAAGTAAATTTGCTCATTTTTGTAGTATTATTGCAGGTCCATGGAAAAATCACGTAAAACAATGTTTTGTAAGTGCACAGCTAATATAACTGCTGAATTTGCGTATTACCCCTTGCACTGGCAGAAGATCCAGGAAGAAATACTCTTCCTTGTTTAAGAAAACTAATAGCTTCTGCTCCATTACATCTGATCTGTAATGATGGCAGTAAGTGTACCTGCAGGGAAGGAATCTGTTGACTGGCATTCTGCTGAAGTATGGTACGGTACGGGCTTTTTTAAAGTGGAATTTGTTATTGACAAATCCCACCACTTAACTTCTTAAAAATCTGAATCCTACTAAATTCCACTACTGTTTCACTGTCGTCAAATTATTAAGACAAAGAGAATATCCCGCTGCAAAGATAACGACAGAGATAACAGAGATTCAAAATAAACGTAACAAAAACACACAGGGAAAGCTAAAGAAACTTTTCACAGAACCCCACCAAATGAAATGATCAGTGCCAGAAGCCAGCAGGTCTGCAATGCAGGGCTCCCTGTAGCTTGGCATAAAAGCCCACAGGATAGATTGGGGGAGTATTTTTTTGTATCCCACTGCCATTAATATAGAAGTAGGTTTTCTTCAGTTTTCCACTGTGGGGCTGCCCTGCAGGAAGAGATTGGTTTTAAATTCAAAAGGTTTCTTTGTTTCTAACAGGTTTTGTTTCAACAATGTAAAAGTTTAGCATAAAACGATGAAGCCATTCAAAGTAGAAATACTTACCTTATAAAGACCAAGAAGACCTAAATCTTTCATAACAGAGAGGGCACTGACTCTGGGTCCTGTGGTAATTTCTCCTGCTACCTGCAACCGAATCTTTACAATCTCCAGCGGATTAGTGAAGATGACCTGGGAAGCTCCTGCCTGCAAACCCAAAGCACAAGAAAGTAAATGGCGTTACCAGAGCACGCGGGGACAGGCTGACTTCCGCAAGATGCTGAGCGCCTTCGCTTCTCACTGCACCGGCTGACATTCTCATGTAAAAATATATGAGCGATATTTAATAAAGCATCTGTCTGGAAGTTAAAAGTCCCGAATCAGAAATCATGGATTTGTACATAATAAATTTTTATATTTGTATGTTTGTAGGCCACAGAGGTGGATTAATTCGGTTTGTCTCTGCTCTTCTCCTTGACATCACTTTCTAGAAGCTGTGGCTGTGTTTAAAAGTCTATCAGATATTACATGTAATACTAAACTAAAATAATCATTAGACTTGTGCTACTAGAGCATCAAACACATATAAAGACGACCTTATATTTATTCAATAATAATCCATCACCAATGTGTAGACACATTATTTGCATTCAGTGGAGATGCTGTTTAAAAGGTAAATTTGCATTTAATGGTGCAATTTTAAATTATTAGAAAAGGTGTTTGGAGTTTTGTTTAGCAGCCTTTAATTGTCCTGAGAGGAAACAAAATATAAAATTTAAATAGGAAGAGTAACATTTCACATGTTACTAGGGACTCCTATCTTTCTCCAAGCTGAGCACAACAGATTGAATATGCAGGGAACACTCTGTTAGTAGTGCTGCAGGACTATCTCGCACATCCCCTTGCAGAGCTGCTTCAGATTCTGCACTTTAACCAACGACTTTCAAAGAACTGTGTTTCAGATCTGAGAGAGATTCAGTCTGACAATTCCGTTGCAGAAGCACGTAAACCTATTTAAAAATGACATGTTTAGATTTCTCCCTGGTTTGCTGTAGGTACTACCATTCACTGCTGAAGAAGTGTGTGGTTCATCACGAAACAGCTAAACTTTACTAAGCTTTCTTCTTCCCCTCTTCCTAAGCCACTTTTTTTCATTTAAACATTAAATCACTCCCTTAACATTTATGGCGTATTATGACTTGAATAGAGCCAACTTTCAAAAGCATTTCTCCAACAATCTAAAAGCTCCTCTTAATCCTAATCTATTCCTCCAACCCATCAAATCTTAGGTAAAGGAAAAAGATGCAGAACGTCTGCAATTAAAAGTTGTTTTCCACATCTAAATTGCCCACGAAATAAACTCTTTTTGTGACGCTGGGGGTGTGTGTGTGTGAAGGAAAATCAATAGTCTGCCACAGCACCTCCCGGACAGCACTGCGTGGCGTTCAGAACTAATGAACGCCAATTCTTTCTGCCTATAGCACAATCTTCCTCTCTCCAGCAGCAGGCAGAATAAACTTGAGATTAGCCCTGAAGCATGTTTTAGAAGTTAGTAACTTGAATTATTCTAGACTTGGGACAAAAGATCACTGCAAACCTCAACAGCTCTTACTGAGAGTGACCAAGCACTGGGGTATTACCTACGGGATGGGGGGCATGAAGAATCAAAACCTCTGCTGACCAAGCACCCAGCACTTCACTGAACCTTTACTGAGCACACTGCCATCCTCTTCTTGCAAGCCCCGTTTATTACTTCACTCAATATTGACATTTAAATCCATCATTGCTATGGCTTTACTAAAGCACCTTGAACCAAACAGCCCCTGGTTTTGATTAATTGTCTCCACTGTAGTAGTTACTGTCTTTAACACTTTCCACTCAAACGACCAGTCCAGGTCATTAATCTTTGGTTTATTTCCTCACTTCTTCACCCCTCTGAAAGAAAATCAAAGCCTACATTTTTGCGGACATTCAGTGCAACCATTGGGAAGCTCACCGGCACTCCCAGACCAGCCAAACTGATCCCACCTTCTGTTCCTTGGAATTAAAGCATCGCATTTCCTCAGTTACCCAACACCACTCGTGTCCAAAGCTATTCTTCAGACTCTCTGTACTTCTCATCTCACCCTTTCCTTCCCAGTTCATACACACCTACGCCTGCAAGATGCGACGGCTGTCCTGCCAAGCACAGTTCCAATCTAAATAAAACCTGTAAAATTCTCATCTGGCACATTCGGTTAAACCATAACCGTGTTTTTTTTTCATACCGCATAAGAAAAAACCGATTGCAAATGTTTATCATTGCCCTACATCATTTTTAAAAATAATTTTGGTAGATAAAACATTAAGCAGAATGCTCTTACTACATAATACAATGCACCACACAAAAAATTCAAATAACTTTAAATTTAGACACTAAGCTAGAAATTCACTCCTTCCAATTACCTGCTACCTGCCTATTAAATATGGACTCTTTGTTTACATATACAGATGAAATTCCATTTTTTATTTTTAATGTTATAAATTAGCACATCCTGCAGAGCAGCCAAAATAACTCTTCCTATTTGCCTAACACCCACCACAGAAACACAAATAGGCCAATTCGTAAACATTACTATTTTCTACCCTGAATTCAATCTTCCTGCAATTAAGATTCTCCTCTCCGAGGTGCACAACTGCCTACCTTCCTGTTAAAATCAGCAATAACCCTCTTCTGACACAGAAATAGAAAGAGAAGACTCTAAACGCAACACATTGTAATAATATAGTAGTAATACAAGTTAGATATACAATGGTATGAATTGTATATTGTTAATACAGAATTATAAATTATTACAATATTAATACTAAAATACCACTTGATGATCAGGTTATCGAGCAAAATAAAATACAAGGAAAACCCTAACACATGGCTATATTATCAGTAGAAAACCATTTGAAAAGCTCTTTAATTACATTGACACTTTGAACATTGAGTATCCAGAGTGTCGGCACACTTCTCAATAAGCAGCTTTCTCAAAGCTGTAGCTGTCAAGAGACCCAGTTAAACACTCCCGATTAGCAACATATACTTCTGCCCAAGTCTTGACTTTTCATACTGTTACACTTGGAGCTCGGCAAACTTTTCTGCACAGCAGTGATTCAGTTCCCATGAAGAGGAGCACGGAATTCCCGGGAGCTGCATGAATGTGTCAGGTCCTTAGACACACCCCAAGTACGGACAAGGCAAGCGCTGATTTTAATACAGAACATGTAATACAAGAAGACTCACTTTTTCATTGGTATTTTTCAAAAAGGAATGTGAGGGTTGGTGTTTGTTTGTTTGTTTGTTTGTTTTGAAGGAAATGATTGCCTATCTATCTGAGGAGGACGGTGTGAGGCGGCGAAGAGGGCTGCCCGGGGCGCAGAGGAAGAGCACTCCTCAGGAGAGGGTGCAGAGGAGAACGGCACAGAGGAGCTCACAATAAAAATGAACCAGCAGCGCGCAGGGCTGCAATACAAATCTCCATGCTTCTGTGCAAGTCACTGGCAATCATCGTCACTCTTTTTCAAAATACCTTACTTCAGCTGTCAGCTATGTACGTTAAATACACGTGCGCATGTATATACACACAGAGGTATATATTGCAGTCCGTGAATTTCTTCTGGAGAAGGTGCACTAAATCTAGATTGTCCCCCCCTAAAAACCTCCCTTCACATATAAATTACAACAGACACTTTAAAAAAGGTTGACAAATTTGTTTCTGAATGGAGGTTATTCATACACATCAAAAATACCAGTAATAAAAGCTTCTACTTAACCTTAATGTCATGTAAAATAACTCTACAAGGAGCAAATAAAGGAACTAAATCTGACAGCAAAGGTTATGAGAGAAAAGATGTAGTTTGAGATCCCACAGCAAACGCCCCGTGACATGCCAAAGGCTGAAGGAAATACACAAATGACCCTGCAACATGAGACCTCTTGCCCTTTCCAGTTCCACCCGAGAGGCATATGCTGCCAAGGGGGAGAGGCCTAGTTCAAGCCCTTCCTTCCTTCCTTTCTGAAACCGCCACATCCTGGACCTCAACTATGTCCCATACAAGGGCCAAAATAAGATGTTGCTTAAAACAGTCCAGCTTAACAACATCAAAAGAACTCGCACTTCTTTCTCAAGGCAAAGCTGGCATTGTTCATGCACCGACAGCAAGCTTACTGTCTCCTTTACTAAATAATAAATTTCTCCCTAACTTTAAATGTCCACAATGCAGACAGGACAAAGCAGTAAAGTTTAATTCCGCTTCTAACTTCATCTGTTTAAAGTAAATTAAAAGAAGTAGAGTATCTTCAAGATTTTGAAGCAAAAGTACTGACAGCTATAATGCTGTATTTTTGTGTTTGTTAAAAAAAAGCAGTAAAATTTTAAATTATTTTTTTTAAATATTTGACGCATTCCTATTTGCCTGACAAGCATACATACATGTCTGTGTGTATGTATGTAGAAATGTATAAATATACATGAAAAATATTTTCACAAATACATCAAAGCATCTAGACTAAATGTTACATTTAATGTTTAAATATATAGAAGTTTTTTGATCAGTGGTAAATTTGGACTTCTATGTGTATGTATGTGCAAACACACCCCCCCCCAGTCATCGACAGACGCACTGCCTACACCTCCAAGAAGGGTTCCTAGACCCTTTCTGTCTGGCACCCCACATCGTCTTCCTCCCTGCAGCACAAATCGGAAAAGCCTTTCAGATGAAACAGGACTCATCCATTCAAACTGCTAAGCACCACGCACGCTGCAGGGATGGGAAGAATCCATTTCTTCCTGTGTAACTCCCAGGAATTGCAGCTCAAAATCACGGCATCTTTGTCTACCGTAACAGTACTTACGAGTCACTTACGTAGCGTTAGATGTCTGCAACACGGCTCCCCAAGGGAGGACGAACAGTCGCCCTACAGCACCTCGCCCTTCACCGTGTCCTCGCACGCCCCATGCGTGTAAGTTCCTTTGAGCAGCACTGTCCACAGCAGGCACGCGCTCTTTGCCTCCCCAGCTGCTGTCGGGATGCAGGCGAGCATCATCGAAGCCTCACTCAGCCCCCCCCAACTCAAAGCTAACGGTGGCTGAAAACTCCGAAGGCAGGAACGCAGGCTAATCACGGAATTACAATGAAATGTAATTCAATTAATTACAGGAACAGTAGGGAAA